ATCCATGTAAGCTATAAATTTATATTTGAACTTAAGAACTTAGAAGTAGTAGGTCTCCTCCTCTTTAAAATTGTATCAACCTATATCCAATGGGTTCTTTAATATTAGTAAGTTTTTCTCTTACTTTTTGTTTAATTTCCAATTTCAATTGTTATTGTTAGCTTTTTATGATTTAGAGTTTGGGTGTTAAATTTTGGGGATTTTTTTTTTTCTAATGCAATTTACTAGGATTTTCTTGATGACTCGTCATTTTTATGATTTAATCTATTCATTGCTTGATCTCTGCTTTTATATAGTCTAGTTGTCTTTTGGTTTTGTTGAATGCTTGTAGCTTGTGATTATGCAATTGTAGATCTATATGACTGCTCCCTATATCTATGTGTACTCCCATAAAATTTAAAAATTGTTAATTGAAGAATAGTTGCTACCACTCATTTTCTTTGCATATAAAAAAAATCTATAGCCTATAGCTAATTAAACCATGTAAAACTTTATCTTCATTTTTTTTATTTTAAAAAAAAAAAAAAACATGTAAACCTGTTTTTAAAAAGAAAAAAAAGGTAATATAATAGATCTCTCATGAAAAAATATTAGTCTACCCCTATAAAATTTTCTGATCCACCCTTGACTCCTTGTTCAATATTTACCAACCAAAAAGAAAAGAGGGACAAGCAAAGTTGGTACACAACTGGATTAGCTCTATCCAACCCAGCCGTATTATTATAAAAGATAAGAACAACATTGGGACACAACGGGTGGTTACAATATTGGAACCTCTTGCCTTGTCCCTATTTCTGGCTCTCTTTGTGTACCACAAACAAACAATCGGTGTACCCGATCAAACTTTATTATGCTTGTCAACCGAGATTTTTGTAATTGAGAGAGAGAGAGAGAGAGAGAGAGAGAGAGAGAGAGAGAGAGAAATAAGCCAAAAGAGATAACATTGTGCAGGAAGTGACAAGAAAATATTAGTAACTAAAAAAAATGAAAATGGAGAACAGAAAGAGAAGAAAGAAAAGCAAACATCAGATTTACTGACCAATAATGCCGACAGTGGTTCTAATCATATCGGTGTCCATTTGTACGTGTAGAGAGTTAAAACAAGGAGTGAAGGCCAAAGAGAATTAACCACAACGAAACTTGATGTCCTTAATGAGGATTTGAAGAATTTAGGTTTATTTAAAGCAGTTTTTTGTACAGCTTTTGTTTGGAAATGAAATGTGACGCAGATGAGGTGTAAATGACATGCCTCAATTATCATCCACAGAAATACAACGTCTGATCGGTTATTTCTGTTTCTTTTAAACTAGACTTCTTCTGTCACTTTTAACTTAATTTTTGTTTATGTTCAGTTAATTTCTGTTTCTTTGAACCTGTGACATGCCGAGTTATATCTCTTTTTCTTTTTTTTTCTTTTTTAGAACAAAAGTTTAGAGGGAGATTGACTACTCGCACCACCAACGTTAGGGCAGACCCACAACCTCGAGTTGAAAGTAATATCTCTTTTGTAGGTGTGGAATATTGCTTCTTTTTTTTTAAATCTTTTTTTTTATATTGGATTTGAAAGGAGAAACAGGCTTTGACAAGACCTAGACGAGAGGAGAGGTAGCACAAACACACGAGGCCCCAAAAGAAATAACGACATAATACCAAAAAGGGAGGGGAAAAAAAACAGTAAGGTGACTAGGGTTGACTTTCGAACGAATTGGATCAGAATTACTGGATTCCAATTTCAATAAATAAATAAATGAAATTGGAATGAAATTGCTATTCCAATTCCGTTCCCAAAAAATTCAGAATTTCAATATCCATTCAAATTTGGAAAACTCTGAATTTTTGAAATTTTTGGAAAATTTCGGAACTTACATATTTCAAGATTTTTTTGAAATTTTTTGGAAATTAGTTCAAAATTCTAAACATGCCCAACTATTTGAAGGGTTAAAATTCCAAAATTGAAAACTCATACCGTAAGTTTGGAAACTATTATATGCTACTACTTAGATTTTGTTATCTTTTATGGAATAACTTGTCTGTCTACTTGATCATCAAATTATATTTAGTTCAACATGAAATTAGTGTGTGAAATTATATTTAGTCAAGACTCTTTTTCACTAGCTAGACTCCGTTGGCATTGAAAGATACATATTTTGATTGCATTCTTAATGAAGTTCTCAGGCTAAGCTTTTCCTACGTGAAACTCATAAAGAACACATTATACTTATAATAAATGAAATTTTATAAGTCAAAGTTTTTTTGTTCATATTAATTTTTGTTCTTTCAAAAGAAAAATACGGACAAAGTCGGACAAACTGTTGGTCTAGCGATTTTTCTCTGTAGTATTTAAAGAGATTCCAAACTTGAGTCCCTTCTCATGTCCACCCATTCAATGGGGGAGCCACATACAATCAAATACTATCTACATTTTTGCTATTTGAAGTGTGGCCGACTCAAATTACAACTTGCAGCCAACTCAGACTAAATCTAGTAGCACTAAACTCATAGATATTTTTTATTTACTAAGAGATTTTAAGCCCACTCACAAAAGACATCAGTCTTATTAGGAGTGATGTCATTCATTATATATTGTATTTCATTTAGCAAAGTTTCCAATATGAAACTTATATTCTTCAACAATTCCTCTCCATTGCTATTTGCAACTTGCTTTGTTTTTTTTTCAAACTTTGTAATTTGGTAGGTAAAGAAATGAAGAGTGAATATTGTCCAGCTAATTAACCACTTAATTGCACAAATTGATAATCATGCAAGGAGAAGTCTTGGATTTCTTGGCACATGAAGCGTTAATATCAATATATTATATAATAAATGATTCTAGATATGTCAAAAATCACTTCTCCATATAATCACTTTAGATAGTTTTAAGTTATTTTATGGAGAAGCAGACGAGATGTGCTTCTCTCCATAATCACTTAAAATCACTGAAAGTGATTATATGGAGAAGAATGTGGGAAATGCTTCTCCCCAAAAGTGATTCTGGCCTATCTAGAATCACTCCCAAACGAACTAGTCTCATATTGTGTCGGCTAATTAAGCAATTCTCAAACAGCATATATATATATGCTTTGTACCCTCCAATTAATATGATTTCCTTAAGCACATGAAACAAACCCCTCAAAATCTTTATATGATTTCCTTAAGCACATGCATTAATTTAGAGACTCAATTATCTTATACAAATAATAAAGTTATTAATCTAATTAAATTTGTATGATAATATTGAGCTTCTAGCTCAATATTTACCAACTAAAAAGAAAAGAGAGGGACAAGCAAAGTTGGTACACAACTGGATTAGCTCCATCTAACCCAGCTGTAATATTATAAAAGAGAAGAACACAACGCCTTGTCCCTAGTTATGGCTCTCTTACCACCATAGATATGAATTGGACGGTCCACAAACAAACAATTAATGTACCCAATGAAACTTTATTATGTTTCTTCTTTTCTCCCTTCGTACTAACTCAATTAGTGTACCCTTCCATTGATCAATTGTTGTAAATGTCAACCTAATCACTAAAGCTAAGAGAAATTATATCCTATTAATCTTCTAAATAAGCACCATTTGATTTTGAACTATGGTCGTCGAGTGAGTGTGAAATTCATTCTAAATTTTATAACAATCATCGGGAGCTAGCGTATGAACGATCGATGCTAGCAATTGATTAATACTTATTCTTAATTTATTAATTTTATAGTGGTGGGTTTGAAAGGAGGTTGGTACAAGTTGAATTGTTGAAGCAATTGATGGTGCAAGCACTGCAAGACCCATAAGAGTGACGATGAGAGACTTCTTTACAGTTCATAATTCCATGCATGGATGACATCTTGCGGAGGTTTGTTGGGGGCAGAAAAAGCTGGAAACGCATACAAGAATATAAGTGAAGACAACAGTTGGTACAAGTGGTCAGGAAAAAAGATGCTTATCTTGTTGTTTGTTTCCTTGCTTTTCCCAAACACAAAAACTCACGGTTGGAAAATAGTAGGCTGCTTACCAACAAACAGCTTAATTTTGTTGCTGTTGATAAGTACCATGAACAACAACCACCAACAACGTTAACCCACCATCTATTAGTTACATGATTACCCTCGCATACTTAAAGTTTAATCAAAATACTCATTATATATGTCTATATTCCATAATTACTTTTGCATACTTGGTTCTAAGTAAATGAACATATCATATGGTATGTCTAGTATTGTCTTGCATGCCATTAATTATAGCTTTGTTATTAGGCAAGTTGTTAATACGGATTCTATAAATGAAAATCTAATCGGCGAGTGACTACATAAATTCTTCAGATTGCACAGTCTAATAAGATAACATGTTGACTTGTCTAGAGCATTTTTGTATATGTATGAATACGATTGGTACTAAAGTTGTTGAGAACTTTGAGATTTAAATATGAATTAGTTGTCAACTAAGATTGTTTCATTATATTTCTAGAAAACATGAACGTTGTGAATGAAAGTTGTTTCTTTTTTGTCTTGAGCTGGATAGCTTGCAAGTTAAATACACATAAAAGTCTTAACTAATCAAATTAAATCATGCACCTACCATGGTCCCATATAAAAAAGACATGTATAAAGCATTCTCCTGTGTTGAGCTTCTAGCCTACTACTATTTTAAAATTAATGATGGGTTGGCAAAGGATATTTATGTACATATCCCCCACAATAGAAATAATAAGAAAAAGGAAATAGAAAAGCTAATAAGCAAAGTAAAGATCCATCTGCCAAGCTAAGGGTAAGGCCCGCCAACTTGCCAGCAACTGGTTTTGCACCCAAATATATTTCATTCTTAGCTGGTATTAAACAGTGGGCCATGCATGCAAGTGTCTCTCTCTCTCTCTCTCTCTCTCTCTCTCTCTCTCTCTCCACGGTTTTATATATGAACCTTCCCTCACACTTTCCTTACACTTTTCTCTCAGACCCTCATCAAACACTTAGGTATCAAAAACCCAGCAAACCCTTTGAGCTTGAGAGAGATGGCAAAAGTGGGGAAGCTAACAAAGCTCAAGTCAGTCATAAAGAGATGGCCTTCATTCACCAAGCTCACCCGCACCACAAGCTCCATAGCTGCCGCAACAAGCGAATCAGATCATGACAGCAAGGTCTCCAAGGAGCTTCATGCTGTGTACGTGGGCAAGTCCAGGAGGAGATACTTGGTTAACTCAGACATCGTTGATCACCCCATCATCCAAGAGCTGGTGGACACGTCATCAGGTGAGGTGGTGGTGGCCTGTGAGGTGGTGCTGTTTGAGCACTTGCTGTGGATGCTGGAAAACTCCGAGACTCAGTTGGGCTCCATGGACGAGCTTGTTGAGTTCTACACTTGCTGAGTTCTGTGTGTTTTGAAAAGAAATGAATTGAGTTAATTAGCTAATTTGTAAATTAAGACTATAATTAGGGAATTAATATTTTGTTTTAGTTTGTGTGTGTGTGTGTGTTTGGCTGCTATTTGTGAATGTATGTCCATTTGGACGGTGAGGTTTGATTTAATTAACCCATTTCGTTTAATTTTACTGCGAATGGAGATCGGCCATGTTAAAGAACTTGGTTAATTATGCTATGAATTGTCATTTTATATACCTCTATCATTAATCAAAATGGTTGGGAGTATATTGAAATGAACTACAATTTTATTCTATTTTATTATTTATTTTAATTTTAGACTTTGATTATTTTCCACCTTTCACATTTTTTTATTATTATCTGTTATGTGCCCCAATGCATCAACTTTGATTTGAGGGATTGAAAAAAAACTAATGATAATGTTAGGGTCTTTAGGATTTCGAGGGATTTGACTACAAGCTGGAAACAAGCATGAATGCTCAATTCCTGCCCCAAAAAGGGAAAAAAAAATCTATGTTAGCTGTCTGCAGACATCGAGTTCTTGTCAAATAAGAGAAAAAACGTTTGGAAATTGGGTATTATTGCTGATGTGAAAGTAGCTAGGAAAAATCCAGCCCACAGTACAAGGACGTCCTGCATTGGTCCCCTCTAATTTTGGTCCTACTACTACAATCTGAATCTCCCTTAGATTTTTCCTTTGCAATAGTCTTGACTATGCCATAAAAAATAAAAATTAAAGGCACATCGTTTTCTTCTTTTTGTGGTCTTTATTTACTTTTATACTAAAGTTTTACTAGTAAAGGACCCACCAATGCAGTTGTTTGGAGCAATTACTCTTTGAAAAGGTTATGACTTCGAGTCCTAATATCCGTATATTGTGTGTGAGTTTAGTATATTGTTACTCATCTCGATAGAAAAAATCCCCTCTCGACAAAAAAGTTTTACCAAAGTTTATGGACATTAAAAAGTGAGAATTAACTGTATAAGGTGGGACAAATGTAAAGTACAATTGGCCATTGAATTTAATAGTTCACTTAGAGCAGAAGAAATACATTGTTTATGTGCTGCAAATGATTAGGAATTATATAATATAAGTTAGAGATGCTTCAGTAACATACGCGCATCGAGTCCATTTTATTATATTATATTCTTAATCCTGTCTTGTTACATGCAATTGTGCAATTTGCAATCTTTTAGGAGGCATAGCTTTTCCATCTCTTGCGTGCTGCCAAAGGACCAATCAAATATTCTCAAAAGATAATAGAGAATAAATAAGTTAAGGAAAAACAAACACAGATCATCAGAATGAGTAATGTCGCCCCGGGAAATAATAGCTTAAGCCCTCACGCTAATGGCATCACCAAACATATCTATATCATAGATACACCAAAAATTCAAAGGGTCGCACAAATTCTCTAAATTGTCAATTCTTCAATGACTTTTTGAAGAAGTTAGCTACAACAAAAATGTCATTTTGCAGTGGTGGACTCAGACTTTTGTTCATCTGGGGGCTTAAAAAAAATCCAACAGATATATAGCTAAACAAAAAATATTTCTAACTCAGTATATTAACAGCATTGTCCAATAAGTAGTTTTACAATTGTCCTCAACGACTTTTCATATTCTGAAAACATTGCATAATAAGCTCATTATCAATACTATTAAATATGTCTTTTTCAAGATATACTACCAAGCAATCATTCATTATATGAGTGCTTATGGAAAACATTTTCAATTAATATGTTGTTTTTTATGCATTAAGGCTTGACATGTTTTCAGAGTGTGGTTATGGGAACTGTTGAGACCTCCAACATGAACTTGAAATCTTTCCTTTTTCTTCTAATTCGAAAAACTTGTACCAACAAATGAGTCACCTAAAGCTTTCTCTCCCAAATTTGTTTTAAAAATATAACAACCTAAGCAAAATGTAGCATCTTCTTTGATGCTATATTCCAACCAATAAGGGAATTCATCAAACCATGCTGGGTTGAATTGTCTTGACTCTTTTCTAATTTTTGTTTATAGGAAAATCATGATTTCTAGGCTAACAATGCCTTTTTGTAAGTAAGCTCTTCTAATTTCATATCAAATATTCAAATTGTAATTTAAAATCTGAGTTCGTAAACCAGAATCAGAATGAAGATATGACATATTGATTTCTATGCGACTTTGCTTCGAACTATCATCACTTCTCCCAATAGGTCGTGACAATTCCAACTCCAATTTTCTTTTAAAATCTTTTTCCATCATTGTCATAAATAGTTCTCCACCAAATTACAGAATGAGTGAACTTGGTGGGATCTCTATTCTTCTTTTATAACATATGGTTTTTCTTTTTTAATATAAGCTTTGGGCTGAAAGTGCATTTATTGGATGGGCCATGTGGGGGCTCCACCTAAGAAGGACCTACAAATAATTTTAAAAAAATGTGAGTTTGGGTGGGATTATATGGCTGAAATGTTTTTGTAAGTGTGGGCAAGTGCCCACAGTTGTCCTTCATTGGGTCCGCCAATGTCATTGTGATTGAAGATAACACCACAGTGACATTCCTGTTGCATAACACTCTGTTTAAAGGACTTCTTTGACTTTCCAAATTGTTATATGTGCCAATTCCACAGGCTATAAACCCCTCCAAGTTATAATAGGAAAAGTTACCTTATGCTTCAAGAAACAATTGGAAAACCAAAATCAACAAAAAAAATGTGGTTTACCAAAACTTTCATATTTCCCCTCTTTACCCTAATGCCGCATGCCTAGGATGTACTACGAAGTATAAATCCTATGCATTAACTTCAAGAGTGAATTTTCAAGAGAGAGACACAAGAGAATTCAATGGGGAATTCTAGGGTGTTTTTTAATGGCATCAAAGGGTTTGAGCAAAAGGAATAAAGTTAGAGATCTTGTCAGAGCTAAGGGGGTTCAAGTTATAACCAAAGTTTTCAAAATATTTCTCTCCCATTTGGCTTTTTCCAAAATGTCCCAACACTTTAGATCTTGTCGTTGATAAATTATACGATGGCACATACACAAATTCTTTGAGAATAAAACGGGACATTTTGAAAAAAGTCAAAAGAGAGAAAAATATTTTGAAAATAAGCCAAAATGGACAAAAATGCCCTTATTTGTTTTTGGATTTCCTAAGAAATCTTTTACATTTGCATGTCTTTAATTTGAAAGTTGAGGAGTTTTTCAGTTTTTTTATATAAAAGTTTTGACTTTTTTCAAAAATAAAAGTTTTTTTGTAACTAAAACATAAATTTACTTAGTAAATTTAGGTTTCTGCACAACAAATTTGACAGGCAGATTTGACATCTCTAGATACATGCACTTAATTGCTAAGAGACGGAGAATAATAATCGCATCAATGGCTCAAAGCACAAATGGCCAATGCATGTTGGCGTAGGCCTACAAACTTAGCTCTGTGCGTTACCATGGGCCTTGCCCACAGGATACAAAGATTAGGACAAAATTTCTTCAAATCAAGATATAGACAAGTTATTTAATTTGATTTTTTCAGAAAGAAAAGTAATGGGAATCGAAACTTTCTCATGGGATAATACATGCTTGTGAACATGTCGGAATATAAGAACAAAAGTGAAAGACTAAATTTAGTTAGCCAAATATATTAAATATACACCAATCGGGTGTTAGTTGAATTGGTTTAGATTTTTAGCATGCTTTCAAGTAATCTTAAGTTCAAGCCTCCATACATACTTGTGAACACGTCGGAATATAAGAACAAAAGTGAAGGGCTATATTTTGTTAGCCAAAGATATTAAATATACACTGGAAAATTATATGATATATAGATAGAAGGCATAATATAGAAGGAAGGATTGTTTTTGGCCCACAGCAGAATGGGCAAAAGAGATGCCGGACCCATGACTGGCAACAATCACGACAAGTTGTGACAAGGTCAGAATGCGACATCAAATTGACGCTTATGTAGAGAACATTGCTCCCGTCTACACCAACTGTTTTCTTATACATTTTTGTGCTTCATTTCATGTATTTTGCTTATGTTGTCATAAAATTGTAGTCAACATGAATGATCCAATTCACACCCCAACTTCAGTTTTATATAGTTCTAGAGTGACACTTGGGTTCTCCCTTATCCTCACCATCCACTACTTGCTTGTATTGTATGAACATTTAGTTAGAGCTAATCCATAATCAAATCCCGAAATCAAATCAAATCAAATCAAATAGTCAGAATGTGATGATATTGGGAGAATTCATGCATGTATGCAACACTTTTCTTCTAATTATATATTTTTTTTAGCTTACATACTAATCACGTGATCAGTTATTAGTTCACATATAAATTGCGTGATTAATTATTGTGAGAGAAATGTTGTATACATGAATGATATCTAAGAGTTTCTCCGTGATGCTGAGAGATAACCAGATGGAGCACAACTAAATCCAACTATGATGAACAGCATAAGCAGAAAGTTGGAAGGAGGTGAAGGGGGCCTATGCTTTTGCTGCTGATGATATTGAGCTATAAGCTGGCTTGGGACTGAATTTACTTTCCATCTTGAAATAAAATATCCCATTGGATGTCACTCATTAAAGCATTGGCCCAAAGAACAAGCACCATTAAATTTCTTTCCACTCCTTATACACTGAAGATTATTCGACAGAGTCTGCAAGATTATATATTGTGCAGAGCCTGCAGATTATTGGGCAGAGTCTGCAGACCATCTAGATACAGAATACTCCAGCTCATTTAGAAATATTCTGACTATAAAGAACAGGCCACCAACCTTACAGCTATAATTACTTTCTAACAATTAGGCAAAAAGAAATGCAGCCAATTAATAATTTTCATTTCACAAGCCAGAAGAACAGTGCAAATTGACACCAACAAATTGATCCCCAAGCTAAGATTGGCAAATGAACATCAAATTTTTCCTAGATAATTACATCTAACCAGGAAATGAACTGAAAAAACCCATGACTAACTAAACTGGCTCAACCTTGTAGATCTTGGGTTTGGACCTCTTGATCATCCAATACTCCTCAAAATCCTTGGCCTCATATGGGATCCTCAAAACCCCATCATTGCAAAAACCATATTCTTCAGCTGATCTGTAAAGCAGCTCCATGAACTCTGCACGGCCAAGCAACTTGGTATGCACCATGAAACGCCTAGTATCACCATCCACACCGACACAAACAGGCACATAACCTCTCGGTGCCGCTGGAGGAGGGAATTTCAGTCTTTTAGCTCCTCGAGCGCCGATGAACTGGCTCAGCTTGCTGCTTCTCACCCCCATTAGCAAATAAGAAAGTAGTCTCTTCATCCAGTTGTGGATTAGTGATTCAATTAATTCCAAATATATAATATTGGTGCTCCCTAGCGGTACAAATTTAAGGCTGCCATGCGTACTCTGCGTCCTTGCTATGCTATCCTAGTACTATTTATGTCCCCATTAGACGACGTTGATTAAAGATATATTTTGCCGTCCTAAATTAACTTGATGATTGTGACATTAACATCTTAATTAAATTGCAAATGTTGAAGTGTACGTACTTGTTACTATTGAGGTGCATTGTCTTATGAGGAGGCAAGCAACATGCCGTGGCTACAAGGTTGAAAATAGCTTTAATAATTTCTTTTTCCAGTTACTATTATTTTAGTCTGTAATTGTCATGTAAATTCACCTTGAAGCTGCCTGATTAGCATATTTTATGTCTTTGCCATCTGAGATTTATGTGCAACCCGTGAATGAGTCAATGAGATATCACTAAATTAATTCAACCTTGCCGACCCTCAATCCAGAAATTTCGAAAGCTGACTAATTATAATCTTCCAAGGTTAATGAATAAAAAATGATTCAGTCTGTTTCCTTTAATTTGTTGGCATTCATCATGTACAAGAAGGAAGCTTATTTGTACTGAAGGAAAGACTGCTTTGGGAATCGTAACTTGACAAGTATTGGAGCCAGCCACTCACATGAGACAATTTGAAGGCTTTGCAAATGAATTTTTCTGGAGTGACGATGTGTGCAACTAATAATAACGTACCGTACTTACCAAAAGAATCTGGAACACCAAACACAGAAGAGAGTTTGAAATGAAGGAAAATTGAAAGCATTTCTAATTTCTAATTTAGATTGGCTAGACTACTTTTATTCAATATGTTTTAGTTAAGTATTTACGGTATCCAAAAACAAAGGACCCACTACTGTAGTGGTTTGAAGCAATTGCTCTTCGAGACGCTCTTCGAGATAAGATGCTGGATTCGAGTCCTAGCATCTATGTAATGTGTGTAAGTTTAGTAAATTATCACCTCCTCTATAGGAAAGGTCCTAAAAAAAATTAAAAAAAAAGGCATTGGAAAGAAACAAATTAAAGCTAATGCAAACTACTACAAAGCGTACATCACGAAAATCAATTATGATCATAAAACAAGCTATAAAAAAAAGCCCTAAACAACTAAAATTTTAAAAAACTCATATTTTCAAATGAAATATTGCCGTCGTAAAGTGAAAAATAAAAAACTTGTGTCCAAAGAGAAATATTTTGAATTGGTAATAAAAGGATGCATTCTTGAAAGATTAGTAATTATTTTTTAGTGTCCAAATAAATAAAGGAAATCGGAAACAACAATTGAGTGCAAACAAATTTCCTCCCATTTAAATTGGGATACTTGGGTGTAACAGGTTTCCCCTTCTGTAGAGGATTATTGTGCAAAGGATTTGGGCTTAATGGGCTAGGAGAAACTTTGAATCTGCAAATCATAAGCCCACAATTGCTTAATCCTTAAACACTAATTAATTTTGTGCAAAAGGATTTAATCAACATGAAAAAGGTAAGTACGTAATTTTTGGGTGAGATTAAGTACTTCGCTTAAATTGAAGACAGGATAGTAAATATATTTATGATAAAAGATTGTACAATCTCCATATCCATATTTTTAGCCTAAGCTTTAGAAATTAACTACCCAAAATCACACCTTAATCATATCCTTCACAACCAAGTCACTGGATCTTGCCATTGTATAAACCACTTACCTTCTTCATAAGCCAAAACTTAGAGCTTTGCCTATATTGCTTGACAATATTTTAGGGTTTTCCATACCTTCCTTCTCGATCTCTAGGGTTTTGCATATTTTCCTTCTCGATCTCTAGGGTTTTCCATTAATATAACGAGTACTAGTACTGCCATGGCTAAGATTAAGATTCCCAAGAGTGAGATCGCAGACAATAATAATACTAGTGATGGAAAAAAGCGAAGCAAAGGTCGGAGAAGAATTGAAATCAAGAGAATTGAAGAGAAGAACAAGCGTCACGTGACCTTCTCCAAGCGCAAAAAGGGTATCTTCAACAAAGCCGCCGAGCTCAGCGTTTTGAGCGGTGCAGATATAGCGACGATGGTCGTGTCGAGCAACGGCAAGGTGTTCTGCTTCGGCGCACCCAACTACGACACGGTCATCAACCGCTACCTTGGCCACCACACTGCCTCCTTGGCTGCAGCAGGTCAACCAGATCATGGTGCTTTGCTGCATGGTAAGACAACGCGAAGTAGTAATAAACAAGTTGAGAACTATGTGGAAGCTACGAGGCACCTCGAGGCAGAGAAGATATCATTCAAGGGTGAGGAGAATAATAATAATATTAATTTTGTTATTAATAATAATAATAATTATAATAGTGATTATGAGGGACCAGAAGGAGGTTGTGGTTATGGGTGGTGGGAGAGGCCGATCCCGATTGGGATGATGAGTAGTGTGGAGGAGTTAGAAGAGTACAAGGCAGCCTTGTACAAGTTGAAACACAATGTGGAGGTTCGAACCAATCTGATGATTATGGGAAGTGCTCCTTCTAATTACTATTCATCGCTTTTGGTTATGGGTGATTAATTAGGAGAGTCGTTTTGGATTAAGCAAGGGTTTTGTGATGTATAATAAACTAGTAGAACTATATATGTCATTTTATCTACCTTGATTATCTATGACATGAGGTTTGGGATGCTTCTTCTTTTATCTCTAACTTGTATAATATATATATATATATATATATATATATATTCGTAAAGAGACCCGGCACTTCAAAATAGTCACATTGCACTCCTCATTAGTGAACGAAGGTAGAGAAAAGAGATAAGTGTAAGATGACTATTTTGAAGTTCTAATAATAATTCCATAAATAAATGTATAATGTTCTATGATTGCGTTATATATGCATGTTAGACTCAATATGAGGAGAAATTATTGAAGGGTTCGGGATGCTTAGGACTTGTTTGGTATTCAACTTGAATTCAACTTTTTAAATTCAAAAATAGAATTTTGGTAGCCCTATTTTTAAAAACTCAAACTCAAAAACAACTAAAAAACACCCCAATTATTAAAAACAAAAAATATTTGTTTTTTCAGTTTTTTTTTCTAACAACCCACAAATTCTCAAATTTTTAAGATTTGAAAACAATTTTTAAGTTGCATACCAAACAAGTTTTTGAATCTTAAAAATAGATTTAAGAACTCCTTGTTTTTAAGAGAAATCAAAGTTTTTGAGTTCCTTATTTGAATAGGATACCAAACGCCCCCTTAATTGTTGTTTATTTTTCTTAAATCCTTACTTTATCTGATTAAAAAAATGCATATGTATAATTTCTCTATCTTCTCATTTTGTCCGGCCAATATATGTGATTGTTGATTGTTTGATGAACGAGTATATGTCATTGGTCTCATAGTCTCATCTCTAATGTGTTGGTTATGCAAATAGTTATTGCAAGAGGTGCTGAATATGTACTCGTATATATTTTAGAATTTTTGGTCATTAATTCTTACATAAAATGAAAATATATTGCCAAAGGGAGACATCGAATATACTCACCGTAATTTGTATGTTAGAATTTTGTTTATGGTTAAAGCTATAATAATTGAAAGAAAATTCTATTTGTCCATTTCTCCTCTTAAATTTCCGACTTTTAGTTAAATTCCGAATTATTTTTCCCCATCCAAATGGAGGGTAAGTGTCCTCAAAATTGGTGTGCCCTCTTTTCTCTCGACTCTTCTTCTCTTTCCTTCTAAAACACATAGTAGCTTTGCAACTCTCTTTGGTTCCAAGAGTTTTCCCCTAGAACTGCCCACTCATTCGGCTAATAAATCAAGTCTCTATCTCCCTCCCACCCACACACCCACACCCCCCCCTCCCCAATATGTGGTGGAGAGTTTTCTCTCCCAATTTTGTGTTGGGTCTGTCTCTTCCTTGCTTTTGCAAGGGTTTTGTCTCAACCCTAGTTTTAAGGGGCTGATTACCAGTCCTTTGACCTGGCTTTGAGTAAATCTGTCGACTTAAGCCTCTGGTGCATGTGGCCTCACAATTTTGATTTCAACCCAATTTTTTCCAATTTGTTAATTTCTAATAGCACAATATATCCTAGTTCATTGAGTTAAATGAAGAAAACAAAAGGCACTTCCTAAAAAAATGAAATAGAAAATGCACTTAACGAAATATAACAGAATCTCTATGAATTGTAAACTTTGCAAAGCACAGTGACTAATTTGGCCAAATATTTTTTTCAGTGACAAAATTAAATTTTCATGTAAACCCCAGTGACCATAAAAGTATTTAACCCTATATTATATAATTAAAGAAATTTTAAAAAAGGAAGAATTTCACTTCAACCCCCTGAGGTTTGGTATAATTACAGTCACACCCCACATGTTTCATTTATTACATTCACACCCCCTAAATCTAACAGGTGTTAACTTAATAGCCAAGGGTAGGACTGTCTTTTTAATTAGGCTGCATAACATATGAATGAAAAAAATAAGGATTAACTACACTTTAGTCCTTGGAGGTTTAGTGTCAATATCGAAATGGGCCCCAAGGTTTCATTTTCATCAATTTCGTACCCAACATTTCGAAATATTACCCATTTACACCAGCCGTTACATTGACCGTCAAAGTCAAACGTTAAATGCTGACGCGGCAGTCGTGGGACTCACCTCATAACCAAATAGCAATTAGAAAGCGACGTCATGATGGGCAATTTCAGAAAGAAAAAAAAACACACACGGTCGAATTCGCACGCGTTCCAAGGCGTACTTCGATTACCAGGCTTGGAAAAATCGAACAAACTCAGTTTTCGAGTTGTGTTCGTGTACTGAGACAGACATAGAGGAGAGGGTTTGAGGGTTTGTTCGTGGTTCGAAGTGCAAAATTTTGAAATATACTGCAAAAATCATACTGAAACAGAGGTTTTCGAAAGATCTTAAGAATATAAGTTGGGGACTTCGTCCGGAAGGATATGGAGAACCTTTCTATGGTACATATGGCTTACTGTTCTAAGGTTCTTGGCAGATGATGTTTTCGAGTGAAATTTTCAAATAGAGTCAGTTTCGGGTTTGGTGTCGACTGAAAGTTTGGCTTTTATAATGGATTGTGAGTTTCGAGTTAGGTGTCGGTATCATTGTGTCTATTTAATTGGTAAATGGAATGGTGTGAATGGTAGGTGGTATGCGGAAGTAAATGTTGGCTTTTGTATGTGGTCCTACAACCACTGGGAGTCTTACCTTTTGTTTATGTGTGTACTGACATAAAAACCTGCATTTGTATATGTGTGTTTGTATTTGTCTATTTGTATAGCTACATTTGTATATATGTATATGTATTTGTATTTGTATGTGTATATTTGTAAACAGGAGTACATGTATTTTTTTTGGGTAAAATTGGTAAAATTCATGTGTGGCTTTCGACCTACAGGGGATGAGGCAGGATTTTCTATTCAAATGTACCACAATGGTGAAATAAGAGGTAACTATTATGTGAATGGGTCTGTAGATTGGTTTGATTATTATGATAGGGATAGAATGTCAATGACTGAGATAGATGTCATGGTCAAGGAGTTAGGGCATGAAGGTTTGATTAACTACTGGTACAGTATTCCATGTGATAGTTTTGATGGTGGCCTAGTTAAGCTGAGTGAGGATACAGATGTCTTAGACATGCTAGTATTTGTGCCAGACACTAGGGTGATAAATATATTCCTAGAACATATCTTGGCATGCAGTCAAGAGCAGTTTTACAGTCAAGTGGGTTCAAACATATTAATAAATTTGGATGATGAATTTGGGACCAACACTGGGGTAGTGATTCAAGAGCTTGATAACAATTATGGTGCCATTGTTCCGGTCGGTGAGGGAGTATCCCAGGTGCAAAAGGTGAAAAAAACAAGTGTTGTAATAGAAGAGTTGAATGAAGAAGAGTTGAATCAAGAAGCAGGTGGAGAAGGCAAAGAGTTGAATGAAGAAGGGTTGAATGAAGATGGGTTGATTGATGAAGCTTCTAAACAAGGCAAAGAAACTGCCACTATGAATAATGAGGAGAATTCTGACAAGGGCCAAGAAAAGCCAAGTCAAGGTTGTTCTGATAAAGGCAAAGGCAAGGATAAAGACATGTCACATAGGGTCAGAAGTGCATTTGGTAAAAAAAGATACGGCAATTTGAGGAGGACAAAGACTGTTCACCATAAAGACAAAGTTGTGGAAGGAAGGGTTGATGGCGTCAGGACTGAGTTTCAAAGGCATTCCATGATGTTGAGAAGTGGAAGAAGATTGGCAAATGCTACAGACTTTGAAGATGAAGATGATGATGCTTGTGATAGTGAGGACTCAGATTATATGATTCCCAAGAACTTCAGTGAAGATGAAGATGAAGATGATGTTTTTTTTTATTTTTATGAATGGGTGGATGACCAAACTGAATGGATAGGGGTTAAAGAAACTGGGAATGAAGCTGCTCCTGATTGGCCTACAGATGTTGAATTGGATTATGAAGATTCTGAGTGCAGGGACTATTGCAGCCATAAATTATAAAGGGGGTTTTAATGTCATGGATTTTGTGGATGACTGCTATTTAAAAACAACTTACTTGAAGACATATGAGAATCTCATACTGCCTATGAATGGGATGGATATGTGGGATAAGACTGATTTTCCGCCATGTCTTCCTTCATCTTACTCTAAACAGCCTGAAAGGCCAAGAAAATGTAGAAACAAAGAACAGGAATAGCACAAGGGTAAGATGAAGATGAGAGCATCAAGCAACCAATTTGAAACTGCATTGTCTCGCATTCCCAACACACAGGACTCTCTCAAATGTGGGCAATGTGGTAAAAAATGGCACAATAAGAGAAATTGCCATAGGAATCTTCCCTCAAAAGCCAAACCTGCTACTAAGAAAAAGAGGGGTACTGAAAATACCCAGGTATAGCAACTCAATCTTGTTCAATTCTATCCCTTAATAACCCTAAGCTTTTGTTGCAAACTGATGTAGTTTTTATGTTGTAGACCACTCCATCTGACACATCCACTCTAGCTGCTGGTCCAAGCACTCTAAAGCAAAGATCCAAGCCTCCAAGGCGTGTGCAAAAAGGGAAGCCAAAACCAAGTAAGAAAGGACAACCAGCCTCAACTTCATGTCCTCATGCATCAACTTCTGTTTCCACTGCAGGATCAAATGTTGTACATTGAAGCTCACTGTAAAAGCTATTTGATGATTCAGCTTTTTTTGTTAGACTGGCAGTTTATGATTAGGAGGTTTTTGTTTTTGATAAATTGGTCATGTATAACTTAAGTGCTGACTTTTTTTTATGGATGTAATGGTATTCACATAAGCCTCAACAACTGTGAATGCAAATACATCCACTGAAACTGCCATTTTGGAATGAATTTGAATGGACATGAAATATGTACGATATGCAATGTTATTATCTGGCTATTTTGAGCCTATTTTGAATGCATAATTTTCTGAGTTTTTGGGTTGCCACTTTGCTTCATTATGTTGGTCATTCACTTCATTGTTCTAGATGCATCCATTTTCTAACTTCCCTGCTACATTGTTTTTGCCATTCTATTTTCTACAAATTTTTCCATTCCATTCACTTCATCAAGTTACAAAAAGTCAGCAATTAAGCCCTTAAGCCTTATCCCATAACCCTTAATCCTAAAACCCTAAACCTTTACATAACAATTAAACCATTACAAACTGCTACTAACAACCCAACACTTACAGAATCACATAATCAACAAAACAACCCACAAACAATACATTCATTCAATGGCATAAGCTAATTCCAAGCTCCTCTTTTTGTTCACTCCACATCCACACATCCTTCCCAAAATGATGCTTGCAAATAGAACCCACGACGCCACCAACAACCCCCAAACGACCTTTTCTATTTGTCTTGCCTTTGCCACTAACTTCTCCAGCTTATTCCGTGATTTTAGAAGCCCAGGAATCACTGCCTTCGACCGTTCACACATGGCCGGATCAAACCATGCCCAGAATCAACAGCCCTTAAAACCCTTCTTAGTCTCATGTACCTTTGCTGCACACATGGAAAATCGCTTCCCAGGATTCGAATCTATCCAAGAGGTTCGAATTGTAGCAGCCTTTCCGCACCAACACATCGGCGCCTCTTCATCCATTTCGCCTAGCCAATCAGATCTTCTTCGTCAGTTTCCCTCCACTTTTTTCCTCGCTCCTTTGCTCTCCAAAACACAAATCCAATCCATCTGAGTTTGTTCGATTTTTCCAAGCCTGGTAATCAAAGTACGTCTTGGAATGCATGCGAAGCCAACCGTTTGTTTTTTTTTCTTCCTAAATTGCTCATTGTGACGTCGCTTTCTAACTGCTGTTTGGTTATTAGGTGGGTCCCACAACTGCCACGTCAGCATTTAACGTCTGACTTTGACAGTCAATGTAACGGCTGGTGTAAATGGGTAATATTTCGAAATGTTGGGTGCGAAATTGATGAAAATAAAACCTTGGAGCCCATTTCGATAGTGACACTAAACCTCCAGGGACTAAAGTGTAGTTAATCCAAAAAATAAAAATAAAACTTAAAATTAAAAAAATAAAACTTAAAAATTCAATTTTCTCTCTCGGCAGCTCAATCCCCCATGTAGCAACCCCGCCATTCCCCTGTAACAACCCAGCCACCATTCCCTCCCCAACCTTGTTCACCCTCCATCGCACCCCTATTTGCCTTTGAGCGCAAAAAAGTAAAGACCCGAAGACTGATTTACGAGGAAGAAGAGTTGCATAGCTTACAGAAACGAAATTCCCAAGTCGAATTCCAATAATTTTTTTCAAAAGCTTCAAAATTTTTATAGGCCTCCTCTCATTAACAGTCACCATATCTCAAACCTAGCAAAATCTGAAAGAAGCACCAGCGTCCAAGAGATCTTGATTGTAGGGAAATTTGGTTCGGTGAGTTTGTAATCTTCCGGAAGGGTTGATGGGTATTATTATTACTAATTAGTTAAATTTTCTGTCAAGAAAAACCAACTGGTAGATTTACTCTTTTTTTTTCCCCAAACTGGTAGATTTACTGAGTAGAATGCTCCTGGGAGCGAGAAGCATAACCCAGAAACTGGTAGATTTGCATGTTGGTTTTGGGTCTTCACTATGGCTAATCCCATGTTGAATTTCTTGGATTTACTTCGTGGGTTTTTTGTGATCGATGAAAGCATGGACTCTGCAATGCCCATTAATGGTGCTGAGTCTCACCTTCAACGGAGGAATAACCCAAATGGGTACTTTATCAAGAATGCTTGGCGCAATTGAAATTTATTTATTTTAAGTAAATTGATTGATGCACAAGGTCGGCGGTGGAGTACCAGAGGGATGATGTGCCGGCGGATATGGGTTTAGAATTTGAGCCTTGATAGATGGAGGGAGTCGGTCGGAGAAGGGAAGGAGGGAGAGAGGACAGAGTTTATTTATTTATTTTAAATATTTTAAAAGCAAAAATTAATTATGGTTATCTATATGGACAGATGTTAACTTTTTAAAGCGCGATATAGATCCGGACGGTTCCACAGGAACACACCTCAAAGCTCACACCCAAAACGACACCGTAGCCTTTATTTAAAACTCTTTGAAGGATTACAAGTTAGAACGGCTCCACGCCAACTGGGGATTCAATTCGGTGAGACTGAGAACGAACGGTGACTCAATTCGGTGATGCAGTCCAACTAGCTTGGTAAGCTCTCTATCCCCAACCACTTCAAACCACAAATTCTACTTCCATAAAAATTTAACAGAAATGGGTTTTTTTTTAATCTGTTTGTTTTTGTTGTTCATGCTTCTGGGTTTATGCTGAATGGGTTTTTCTCAGGCGACCAACCCAGAAAATATAGGATGAGGTTGAAGATTCATTGGGTTTATTTATTGGGTAAACTATGTAAATGGGCTGTTGTTAATCTTTTGTTATATTGGCATTGGTTGAAAATATTTTAGCTCATAATAGGGGAATTTAAGTAAAACTTTGTTATGTTGAGCTGCATAGATCAAGATTTTGATGTTTAAGTTGAAATCAATAAGACACTAGACTTCAGTAGAATTATGCAGCAACTTAATGCTACTAAGCAAGCATTTCTTAGATGAAATGAAGGGCTTGGTCTTATGTGTGGTATTGCAAGTTTTAGGCTCCTTTGGGAAATTATTGTTACTAATGGGTTTTGGATTTGGACTATATTCAAGTGTTAAGGCCATGCCATCCCACCATTTTAGCCAAACAAATCACTTTACAAATCCCATCATTTTGAAATTGTTTCGCACCTCGAAGTACTTCATCCAAACACACTTTTTATGTTGGAAAACAAAGGGATATTTAATCTGCAATGAAACTTCAAACACACTAGTGAAGAGTGTTTCCTCTCCCATTAGAGACAGTTTCTATTTTGGTACATTCTAAAATGTCTAAAGCATTTGGTTTTTTTTGTTAATGTAGGAGCTCTGAGGAAAGAGAAATGTCCAGGTTTCGAGGACTATTGCAAGCTTCCTTAAATGCAACCAAGAAGGGTACTATTGCCATCTGTTCCTTTGTTTTCCATCTTTTTCCATGATACAGTAGAGAATCTCATGCATATAAGATGTGTGTAACTGCCTTACATTCTATAGTCAAATTTGTTTGATTAGTGGTAATACTTTTATATATTTCTAGAATTTTGAAGAATATATAAGAATTCACTTACTATGTCCGAATATATTCAAGATCATGATTAATGCCTTAATAGTACATTAACACTTTAGCACCAAAAGATTATGATGGTCAAACATTATTTCATTTGTGTTCTTCCAGTTTTATAGGAGTTTGAAGTCTACTTCTTGATTTCATATCAGTAAGTGAGCACAGATGTTTCGCTTTTTCCACATTGATAGATGAAGTTATGCAACTTGTGATACACAAAGTTATCAATATTGAAACAATTTTGTTGTATTAACATTATCCTGGTTTCTTTTATATTGAATATCCATTTTAGCACTTACATGGAATGTTGAAGACCTGGTGCCTCCAACTGAGAGATATATTTTCAATTTCAATTCGAAGGATGAGCTCAAGAAGTGGCATCTATATTCTGATTCCGAATATGGAGGTATGGAAGTACATAATTTTGATGTCTCCTTATGTGAGTATATAAGAAAAAACTAAAAGCAGTTAGGATTTATTGTCTAGTTTATTAGTTTCCTTGCATATGAGTGCAGTTTTAATTTACAATGGAGTTTTTCCGTGCATGCAACATTGTTATGTATCACTTGATGGAATTGTAGCTTTCTTTTCTGAAGAATTTTGATTGGTTTCGCTCTGTTTTTTTTTCCTTCACTTTCATTTTGGATGTGCAGTAAATTGCTATGATTCTAACATACCTCTCATGTCTCAACTCCTATTTCTTTTGCAGGGTTGTCCTCGGCATCTTTAGAGATCCCAGATACTGGAAATGGACCCAACGGTAATGGACAGAACTTACCTTTAAATGTGGGAACATATCAAATAGTTTCTAGTGCTACTGGTTCAAGTTATTTTTGCTCTAAACACAACTTTCATGCATAAAGCATTAATCGGTGTCTTTCAAAAAATGAAGGGAAAGATACTGTAATTAGAAACTTGTTTTTCAAATGTATGCTTTCTTGTAATAAAAGTTACATTTTTATGTTCTGATACTAAATAAAGTGAAATGGAGAACTACTGCTTAGGTGATATGCTCTGATACCAAGGCAGGTTATTGCCTTGGTGGCAAAGTTGTAGGATAGTACCTGTACTTTGAATGTAAGATTCAGATAAGATTAATCATTATACTAACTTATGAAATTGCAAAGTTTGTGAATCCAAATTATGCTACGAGTTCACCTGCTCTCATTAGATCTCTGCTGTTACCAATAGTTTATTTATTACGCACTTACATTCCGAAACCATTCTCACTATAACTTTTTAGGAATTTTCTCGGGTAACCTTTCGTTGGATTTCATTGAGGGTTCAAAATTGAAGATAAACAGGAGTGGCTTTTGTGGAATGCGGTCCAAAAAGGTGAGCGTTGAACAGTATTCCAACATTTTAGGGATATAGATGAAAACATCAGAAATGAAGACAGAAAAGTTTTCTTAATGATCTTTTAATATTATATTACTATTCCGTATCATCTTAACATCTTAAGATTGTTCCCATACTGGTTTTAAATTATTAGCTAATTCACAGTAATTGTTATTCTTGTTGTTTGTTGATCTCAATTTCATGTGTGAATGTGTGTTACTCCAGTTTTTCTTGTTCATGAAAAACACAAGTTATTGATTCTATATTCGTGAAGATGAGTGAAGATCTGTTTTCCAATTTCCTGACACCAAATGAGCATTATTGTTACTCATATTTGTGATGACCACAGTGCAAATTTTGGATTTATGCTACAGAAAATGATGGAATGATTTAGTTACATCGTATAAGTACCCACTTAAATATTGTTAGCCCACCAAAGAGAGGGTTTAGTTGGCATCATTTCGATATTTCTTTCTTTCTTCTGCAGTTTGACGGCTTCATTGATTTGGACCCATATGATACCGTAGCACTGAAAGTTAGAGGAGATGGAAGATGCTACATATCTACGGTGAGTATTTTTGTCTTGATCATGTAATGAGAGGAGTTGGAATATAAGACTTGTACATCCATACTTCTTTATTTGTCATTTTTTAATTTATGTGGTCCTTGCATATGCAGATCTATACAGAAAATTGGGTAAATTCACCTGGGCAAGAGGAAGATAATTCGTGGCAAGCTTTTGTTTTTGTACCCAAAGACAACTGGTACATTGCAAAGGCAAGTTATACTTACCTCAACCTTTGTTGCTTAGAAACGTGATATGATGGACCTGGCTCTCATAGGGAGCCAAGAAACATGAAATTCAATTTAATGGAATGTCTTTGGGTATGCAACTGATAATCCTCATGATGGTTTGAGTCCGTGACGTCTTTTTTCTGGAGCTCATAACTGAATGCGTCATCTTTTTCCTTTATCCTATCTTGGGTTACCATTCAACATCTGATATGATAGCACCAGGACGCTCTGAAAACACTGAACGTTTGCGTTTGTTGGTGCAGTCATAACTTTAAATAATTGATGTATTTAAATCAATTTCCTTTCAGCTAATTTTGTATGGTCTTTCAGATTCCTCTTGCCCGGTATCTACCAACATGGAGAGGAAATGTTATAGATGCAGAAATGGAAATGAATCCTTCTCGCGTTGTTGGTATGTCTCTATCAGTCAATGCAGAAGGTGGTCTCCCAGGTGCTAGAGTTGGACCGGGTGATTTCAAGCTCGAAATTGATTGGATCAAGGCTTTAAGAACACAGTGAACCCTGTAAAATATTTTGGAGAATGAAATTCAGTTGTATTCAAGTTTGTTTTATGGTGGTAACAAAGCATTGGAAGGCTTGACAATTCACAGAAAATGAAAGCTCCTGCTGCTTTCCTGCTAATACAGTTGAAAATTTTGCTCCGTTTGTGGGTTACATTGATAGCAAATTTGAGCTTTTGCAATAATAGTTGGCCTCCATTATCTGGAAGGTCTTGTATATGATACTGAGAACATTTTGCAGTGAAGAATTTGAGCAAAACAAAAAGAAAAAGTTCCTAAATAGGATCGCTAAAATTTGTTCCATTTCCATTCCACCGGAATGGCTGTTTCCGGCACTCACGAAGGATGTAAACGTTCACTTTGATGATTAATCCAATTATCAGTTCTGGAAAAACAATTATCCAAGAACTTGAGGGGAAAAGAAAAAGTTGGAACCAAAAAATACTGAAATGGACCTAAAAGAGGCTTTTTCATCAGATTGTCCCCTTTATGTTTGCAAGTTGCAAATTGTTATGGTTTTTGGTTTCACTGCACCTAATTTCCCATCCTTCACTGCCTCATGAAGTTAGAAAATCTAGTTAACTGAGTGACATGGGACCCCTGCCATAGCTGGATCCACATCATCAGTCATCCATTCAAGCCAAAATTTCTGCATAAGGCAAAGCAATTTAATCCTTTTCTTTTCTCCGTTCTGGGCCTAATCTATTTTGCTTTTTTTCAGACCAAATAAAATAAAATCTATTTTGCTTTTCTTCCCAAGGAGGGCATCTATTTATTCATTTGGATTGTTAGAATATCTATGAGAAAAGCTGCTTTTCATGTGAATGATAAGTAGTATGTGACAAAGAAATGCAAGAAGACCTGTCATAATAAACATATTCAAAATGCATGGCCAGCCTTCCAACATGCACTCGATTTTGTAAAGAAAATTAAAGCAGTCATAATTCACATATGGAAAATGCATGACAAGCCTTTCTTTCTTTTCTTTTTTGGGGTGATTAATGTATTTATTTTGTACGGTTGAAAACATAATGCAGTCGGTGGAAACAAGATACTTCTTGTACAACAAAAAATATATTATATAAAATACATAATGGAGCAAAATCTTTCTTTTGAAAATACACCTTCCTTGATTCTATTACTTTTTTCTTCTGTTATTTAATTTCAGTGGGTTACATTAAGGTCTGTAATTCGAAAAAGACTTATGAAACGGAAACAACACTATTTAATGCATTTAGGATACATGAACTGACCAGAAAATTCCAAATTAATTCCCCAAAGATCAGTATGGGGACCACATGTGCTTTGTAAGAATATCTGCATATTGTGGCCATAATTCATTGTCCAACCACATTGATCTTGAGATCCCCAAGGAACTATATTATATGTCTCATTAGGGCAGAACATAACTTCCACAACAAAATATTGTCCTAGAGCCAATCCAACTCTGTCAATAGCTTATTAATTTGACCATGTTGTTGGAATAGTTTTTTTTATAATTATTTTGAGTACATGCTGCTGAATGTCAATTTCTAGTACCCAAGGAAATATCATAGCAAATTACAAGATGAAAGATACAAATGAAGTTTCTTTCTAGAAGAAGGCAATACTATTTTGTCAAAATTTTAATGAGATTCATTTAGACCAAATGAACTGAATTTTCAACCCCAAAAAAAAACTGAATTCAATTCACCTATAAAATAAATAGAGTAATAGAACCAATTATATTCCTTAGTAAAAGAAGTACCGGTAGTGGCACAACAGAAGTGAAAAAGAATGAGATTATGTTTGTGTTTGAAACAAACGTGGTAATCGGGTTACGGGGAAGGCACTGCTGCTGATCTAAAACGAGTACAATGGCTGGCAATTTCCAAATAGTGTAGTCAATAGAAAAGTAGTTTATTGGGGAGACTAGACCAAAGACCAGCCTCAGATTCCACACATGACTCCGCAGTTTTGTCTCTGAGAAGTCTGAACACAGAAAAGAGAACAGTACAGAAATTTGTGAAGAGAAGAGAGCTCTTGAGTCTTCTTCTTGGGTCATCTTCCATTTCATCAAAAGAGATCTTGATCTCTTCCAATGAACAACAAACCAAGCTCATCCACACCACCATCATCAAAGCCCACATGGGTCCTGCCCTACAAGACCCAAAACCTCACTGACCTCTACACTTTGGGCAGGGTACTTGGCCAGGGTCAGTTTGGCACCACCTACCTCTGCACTGAAAGCTCCACGGGCCACCAATATGCCTGCAAATCCATCCCAAAGCGTAAGCTTCTTTGCATAGAGGACTATGAGGATGTGTGGAGGGAGATTCAGATGATGCACCACCTCTCTGAGCACCCCCATGTGGTGAGGATCAGAGGCACCTATGAGGACTCAGTTTCTGTGCACTTGGTGATGGAGCTGTGCAAAGGAGGAGAGCTTTTTGATAGGATTGTGAAGAAAGGTCATTACAGTGAGAGAGAGGCTGCAAAGCTCTTGAAGACCATTGTTGGGGTTGTGGAGGCTTGCCATTCACTTGGGGTTATGCATAGAGATCTAAAGCCTGAGAATTTCTTGTTTGATAGTGAGGAGGAAGATGCTGCTCTTAAAGCCACAGACTTTGGCCTCTCTGTTTTCTACAAGCCAGGTGAGACCTTTTCTGATGTTGTTGGTAGTCCTTATTATGTTGCCCCTGAGGTGCTGAGAAAGCATTATGGACCGGAATCAGATGTGTGGAGTGCTGGAGTGATTTTGTACATTTTGTTAAGCGGGGTCCCTCCATTTTGGGCTGAAACTGAGATTGGGATTTTTAGGCAGATTTTGCAAGCAAGATTGGATTTTGAATCTGAACCATGGCCTGGGATTTCAGAAAGTGCTAAGGATCTGCTTAGGAAAATGCTTGAAAGAAACCCAAAGAAAAGGGTAACTGCCCATGAGGTTCTTTGCCATCCATGGATCATAGATGACACCATGGCTCCGGATAAGCCTCTTGATTCTGCAGTGCTTTCTAGGCTGAAGCAGTTCTCAGCCATGAACAAGCTCAAGAAGATGGCTTTAAGGGTCATAGCTGAGAGGCTGTCTGAGGAAGAGATTGGTGGGTTGAAAGAGCTGTTCAAGATGATTGATGCAGATGACAGTGGAAGCATCACATTTGATGAACTCAAAGAGGGCTTAAGGAAAGTGGGATCTGAGCTTATGGAGTCGGAGATTAAGGATCTTATGGAGGCAGCTGACATTGACAACAATGGAACAATTGACTATGGTGAGTTTCTTGCAGCCACAGTGCACTTGAACAAGTTGGAGAGGGAAGAGAATTTGTTATTAGCCTTCTCCTTTTTTGACAAAGATGGTAGTGGGTTCATAACCATTGATGAGCTCAGGCAAGCCTGCAGGGAGTTTGGATTAGGTGAGCTTCATCTTGAGGACATGATTAAAGAAATTGATCAGGACAATGATGGGCAGATAGATTATGGAGAGTTTGCTGCAATGATGAGGAAGGGTAATGGAGGAGGCATTGGAAGGAGAACTATGAGAAGAACAATGAATTTGGGGGATGCTTTGGGGCTAGGACTTGCTGACAATGGGCTCCAACTAACTGATTAGAGTTCAATTAGGAGTGATCTCTTTTTTTGGTGATACAATCATATTTTCATGAATCATGGGGAGAAATCTATGGCTTAATCTTAATTTTCATCAATTACTAGCAAAAAGAAATTACTACCTATGGGTAGAGATTCAGATTGAAATCTTCCTGTAAGCAAAAATATTGTAGTTGGAATTACATTGTTTTCTTTTTTTCTTCTTATTCTTTTGGGGCACATATGAGGCCGAAAACCTGGATTGATTGAAGGGGATATTCTCCAATAAGTATTTAAGTTAAAGATTAGTTATTATTTCTAATCTCGGCTGTTGGATTGCATTCATTAGATATGTTGGTAGATTTAATATGCAACATACATGCAATCTAATAGTCTGAGATTAAAAATATGTAATTAATTCTTAACATAAAATACTTATTGGAGAATTTTCGGCATTGAAGGAGTTCAAAAATCAAACTTTCGTTGTAATTGTAGGGAACCACTCTAGAGTTATGAGCTAGAGTGCTTGACCAAACAAGTGGCTTCAAATTCTGGAATTTGTGCTGAATTCTCCCTGGTGAAGGTGTGGGCTTTTAGTATGGCACCAGGCAGATTCTGTGTCTTGTCTTTAGCCCAATGCCGAATAGATTTGGTTATTTTTGTGGGGTTTGAATGTAGGCGAGCATTTATCTCTTGTTTTAGCCCAACACCACAAATTACAACTTACTATCATACCATCAAATTTTTGTGTTGGGGGTGGGTGTGGGTGGGTGGGGAGAGAGAGCTTTAAAATGCATTATGTGATATCAATACAACCATAAAAAGAAGCTTCTCTCAAGAAAGTTGGTGCTTAAGAACATTCATCCTTATAATCCATTGACCTAAAAAAGAGAGCATGGTGGTTGTTAATTTGGGGGTGGTCTTCTTGTATCTATGCAAATGTTTTAATATTTGTTAATTTAAGCTTACCCATAAAACTGATCATGCTGCAGTAAGTAACAGAGTCGAAAGTAGCCTCTCATCGGCCAAATTTTAGATCATTTCCTTGAATTGTGTAACTGTCAAAAGTGAGTGACTATCTGACTATCTAACTATCTGAATCGTATAATTTTTTCTCTCAAAAAAAAAAAAAAAAAAAAAAAAAAATTTAATTTCGGGCTATTTTGGGTTGGAGATGATCTAATAGCCAAATAGGATGAGGAATTCAAACTTAGAATTTCTTAGATTATTGAGAAGAGAAGTACTACTAAATTAAATTAAAAACTACTTGATGAACTAAACACTTTTTTATGATCAATACAATAACCCTCCGTTTGGATGAGGGAAAATAACTTAGAATTTAGCTAAAAGTCGAGTAAGAGGATAAATTGACAATTCCCTTGTTTTGCAACTTAAACGTAATTGACAATTCCCTTGTTTGGCAACTTAAGCGTGGAATTTATTAAATGATGCGCGGAAAAAAGCGTGAAAATTAGGGCATAAAATTTCCGAATTTAATTTCCACTAAAATAAGCGTCATTTCACAATTTCTATTGTGCCATTTACAAAATTCGATATAAATAAATCTCAATACTGGAATCTTCAATTGCCATAAATTGAAATGATGAAAATCTAAATTCCGTCATTTTAGAATTCTATGTAATTTTTAATTACTTCACCAAAGAGAGGGTAGTATCTAACTAATGAAAAAGCTGACTTCTTTGTTTTTTCTTTTTTTGGAAGTTCATAAACATTACATGTTACGTAGTGATAGCCATGCAATAATTTTTCATTTTTCTAATTTTTCATTTTTAAATAATTGGGCCAAGTGGATTCTCTCTCCCCAAACCAAAATGGCACATGAGTAAATTTGCCAGAAACAGAACCCAATTCCAACAGTGGGCTACCGTTTACCATGCCAATCGAGTACCAAGTTGTGACAGCAACCGTGCTGGTGGTGTGGGACCCAGTCTCAGTTTCATCTCACAATAGGTTTCGTTGACGTCAAAAAAGACTCTGAAAAACAGTGAAAAACAGAACCTTCTGGATTCACAACCTGCATAAATATCTACCCGGCGATGCAATCTCAGCCGTCCATCAGGACTTCTAAATAAAAGATCGTATTTTAATTGATTAGAATAAAAGTCACAAATAACCTATTTAAATGGGGCTGGTTTCTGGAGCGTTCTTGCACCTATTGTGGATGGTTACGGGAGGCTGCTGATATGTTTATTTTTTCTTCCGTATTCTCCTTTCCTAAGCCTAAAATCATGCTAAGGTTCCGTGTTCCAATCCAAAAAGATGTAGGCCAAGTGTTGTAACATACGACTTCTTCTTCTTCTTCTCCTTTGTGTCTGTCTGTGTGTTCGTGTTCTGTTTTAGCTTTTTGGGTCCTATAATTTGTCGACAAGAACAAAAAACAGAAATTAAGAGCGTTGTAGGGTTTGGATTTGATTTCGAGGAGTTGAAGAAGAATGGCTAATGGGGAAGAGAAAGGCGGTGACGACTTCTACGCAGTTTTGGGGTTGAAAAAGGAATGCACAGGCTCGGAGCTCAGAAAAGCCTATAAGAAACTTGCACTGGTTAGAGTTTTTAACCATTTCTGCTCAATTGAACCTTTTGTTTTTTTTTACAATTCATTCAAATGGGTGCTCTTAAAATTGAAATCCAGAGCTAACGAACTAGTCTTTTCCTCCATTTAGCTTCTGGGTCTTTGACAAATCATTGAAAAAATTGACCTTTCTTCTATTGTTTGTTGTTCACTACTACTGGTTCTAAGCATCACTGGGTCCTTCAATGAAACTTATGGGAAATGGGTTTCCCAAAAGAAATTAAATCCCGGGAATGGGTTTTCAGTGAATGATCAAACAGGTTAGAGAGATTGAAAAAGCATTGAGATTTCTGGGATTTATGGGAAATCCAGGGAATTGTGTATTTTTTAATTTTCCTTTACTTTATTGTGCGTTGCAGTTAATTTTATGTCTTTCTTTGTTGCTATAGAGATGGCATCCAGATCGTTGTTCAGCCTCCGGAAATTCTAAGTTTGTGGAAGAAGCCAAGAAAAAATTTCAGGACATTCAACAAGCCTATTCTGGTAATTCCACCCTCTCAATCGCATGTTGGTTATTATTTTATTAGTATTTTGAGTAAATTGGTCATGTGGCGCATGTGCTCTGTTTTGGTAAACAGTTCTATCTGACGCGAATAAGAGGTTTCTCTACGATGTAGGAGCCTATGACAGTGAGGATGATGACGAAAATAATGTAAACTTTCTTTCTGTTAGAGGTCCTGTGTGTGTAGAATTTACTGCTTCTCTTTTACCTCTAGCTTTTCAGTTAAACCAGTCACACTGGTTTCTAATGATTATTGGAAACATGTTGTCGGTGCAGGGAATGGGTGAGTTTTTGGACGAGATGGCAATGATGATGGGCCAAACGAAGCCTAATGTATGCTTCAAATTCACTCACCTTTCTTCGTTTTTAATTTAAGTATTTGCACTTCTTTTTCGTATACGTGTTTTAAACATGTTGAAGCAAGCAGACCAAGAAAAAATGGGATGGAATTGCTTTCGGCTTTTTGGGAAAACCTACGTTGTTCGTTTACTTTTGCTTTTTTATTAAGGCCTTTATTTTTGCTACGCCACTTGAGAAGAGTCATAATGGAGTTATTTTCGAATTAGAACCGACAGTTGATGGGCCACTTAAGGGTCAATAGTTTTATCTAAATAGATAAGCCCAATGTCTTGATGTTTTTATGGAGATATGATCGCTTGTATTCAAATATTAGGAAGTCTGGGTTGACCATAGGATGGTTTAGCTAACAAACCTAAGATAATCTCTGTGGGCCCACCTAGACCATGATGCAATTTCATTTGTTTAACTACAAAGAAGAGGAGACCAAGATTAAGGGAAAGGATGAAATGAGACTATTGATTGGTAAATCGATGGTTATGAGACGATTTGTTCTGTGTGCAAATGCACAAATTTGCATTGAGTGATTAGCGCATATTTGTAAGTGTCAGTCGCCACGTGCACGTGAACAATTGTGAGCTGTTGATTGGTGTGAGACTCATTGTGAGGTCCACGTACATTTCTGGCGAGGCTTAGTGGGCCAGTAATTCTGACAAAAATAATAGGACATAGAGAAGAATGCTGACTGTTATGGATTGGTTATGGGGTTTAACTATTTTGAATTTGTGTGCACTAGTCATAATCTGCCATGCATTATGATTAAGAGCTTACTTTGATGATATTGCATGTTTTCTTCTTTCATCTCTCATCTTTTTTACTGGGTTTTAATGAAATTTCTGAGCTGAGCATTGTAATTGTAATCCTAAGTCTCTCTGGTTGCATTTGGGATAATCATGATGATAGTGTTTCTGAGTACTACTGACATCTGGAGATTGCGTAATTGACAGGAAAATGGGAAGGAGAGCTTTGAAGAACTACAAAATCTCTTTGATGAAATGTTTCAAGGGGATATTGGGAGTTTTGGCTCTGGCCCTCAGCCTGCTACTTCCTGTTCTACTTCTTCATATGTGTCGTATTGTGAAAGTTCTGGTTCCAATAACAAGCGTAATTCCTCTGAAATGAATTATGAGAAGGCAACCTTGGAAGATTCTTCTGGCTTCAACACTCATTTTCAGAGTTTTTGTTTCGGGGTCAGTTCCCTCCTCTTTATGCTTCTCAATGCTTTTAGCTTTTTGTGTTTTTAATATGAGGCATATGGGATGAGTGTTTGATTTTTCCATGAGACCGAAGACAGGGCAATGTGAGACTCTTATACCAATAGGCCTACAAACCTCCTATACCATAAACCTATTATTTAAATAATTCATGACCCCATTGCAATGTGGAACCATTATGTGGCTTTTTTAGTACAGGCATTGCAATGGGAAGGCTCACATTCAATATTCCGTGCTGCTTATAATATACAAGGCTCCAGAATTTAGTCTTGGGTATGGGCTTGCTCTGAAGTCTTAGACAGTTGATGAATCTATTTACCATTAAAGTTAGTTACCAAAGGAACCCAATAACTCAACAGAGTTTGTGCCAAGTTTGATCCTTATAGAAGCTACCTTATTGACAACAATGTGCTATGAGTGTCTTAATGTTTTGTGTGTCCTTTGTCAACTTTGAAGGCAATGTCTTTTTAACTAAATTACAATTGAGGCAAACAATTGGACTATGAACAAAAGCATTAAGGTATGAAAAAAACATATGGTAAGTGTGTGTTTGTCTCTTTGCATTATAAGTATGCTGCTGTTGCCGCTTCTTTGCTTCTTTCCTCCTCTCTTTTAGCGCTAGTTCTTATTATGTACAAGCCTCATATTGTTGGTTTGTTTGGGATTGATGCTATGAAGACAGGTGGAAAGCCGGCAAGACATCGGGAAGGGGAAGGCAGCAAGAGAAGGGATTCAAGGAGAAGCCATCGGTAAACGAAGGCATGGCAGGAAACAAAAGGTTACATCTGGGCATGATGTTTCCGCAAATGATTATTCTGGTATATCAGCTAGATAATGTTATTGATTCAGTTGGTCATGAACTGTTGGAGACTTAGTTGGCAAAATTTTAGATCACCTTAGGTTTAGCAGGGGGTTGAGCCTCATTGTGGCATTCCTTCCATGCCATAATATTCCATGGCAATGGCATCGTCTCAAAGTCTTGAATTGTAATTCACTCATTCGCCGAATTTCATGTCATTACTTCTTCATATTAGTTGATGGGATTTCATTATTTACAATGACTTGCTTGCCAAGGAACAATAACAAAGAAAAGACCTTGAAACATGTACGGGATGTGTTGCTTTAGTGATAAAAGTATTTGTTCACAGCAAGCATTCAAATCTTGTTTGAGTAACAAGCAATTTAAGTGATTGCATTGAAATTGTTGAATGGTTGGCCTCTCTAAAGATTTGGGTTTTCAAATATCCTCCACCAACCGACCATGAGGCTGCATATATGCCTACCAAACAAAGGAGGCTAATCCTATAATGGCAGAATTGGAGTTCTGTTATTTTTACGGGCCAAGTTTTAGTATGTTGAGGGTGAAGACCCTACAGCACGTGGGTGAAGCCCCCACATGTGTACGATCCTAAAACCCTACGCCTAGGAAAAGCCTCATTCGTCTGCTTTATGCTTTGTGATGGTGAAGGAAAGGCAATTTGGACCCACTAATTCCAGCAAATTATTGCCCATCCAATTCTAGACTTGAAACCTTTTTTGTTGTAGGACCCAAAAGCCCCATGCAAGTTGCCAAAATTTCAATCCGTCCATCCAAAATAGATGGTCGCCTGTCTTTGTCAACATTTTCATGACTAAGCAAGAGTTTAAAACACAAGTTGGGCAAAGCGTGTCGAAAGTGGAGAAAGCAAAAGAAAAATCAAAAGGGATGTGAAAAATGATGTCTAGGAACACCAAGTCATGCTCTTTAGACTATATTGTGGGTGGTTAGTGGTGACATTAAGTTGACACAGCATAAGATCAAGATCTTGATTAGGCCTAGTAGATCATCTAGATCATCCTGATTTAGAAAATCAAATTATATTGTTACTTGTTTTGCCTGCCATAATCCCCATTAGCAAAGCGAGCTTGTGCTCACACTAGAAGATACACACAACTTGCATTTTTATTTCTTTTATGAATCAACTTGCACTTTTCTGTATGTGATGGTGATCATGACTAGTCTCTATATGGTTAAGAGACTGTCTAGTGGATGTGGATGTGCTCATACAGTCATTGATAGAGAGAAGTGCAACATTTTGTATTTAAATTATGATATTATTGTATAGTTGTGTTTGGAAAGTATTACGGTCAAAGTTGGATCCTTGATGGCCAATGTGGAAAATATCAAGAAATATAGACGAGTAGAAAAGCATCACATCTAAAATCGGGTGGTTATATCAAATTCCTAGGCTCCTTTCTCTCTCTCAAACCTCTTTTGCTATGTTTCGGGGAGGGGGGAGGAGGCCACTCCTCCTCCTCTCTCTAATTGTGGAGTGGTTATGGTTGGTGTTTTAGTTGTAAGGTTACTGGCTGTAATCTCGGTGGTGTTCTTATTTGTCTCTAAGGCGGCGATGATGTATGTGGTAGCGGTTTTTGATTGCAATGTGTTCTTATCCGTAGTGGCTCTGTTGGTTTTTAGTTATTTGTTTGCAGTTTTCTTATTTTGTAATAATTGCATCAACTCCTTGTGAGTTGGGTCTTTGATTGTTTTCTAGTCTCTGCTTTTATTTTGTACTTGTGAAAGTTAAAAGTTATAGTTGTATTGTAGATTTGGGCGTTGTGATTCATGTCTGATTTGTTCAGGCATGCGACTTTAATGCCGAAATTTCTCCGGCCTTTTGTAGCCTGTATTTGGATTAACCCTATGTGGTTACTATGCTTTCATATTTGTATTACCTCTTTATGGGCATTTGTATTTGCCCTTGTGATTGATAATTTTTGTGTGTAATTTATAAATACAATTATTGGATTTCTCTCAAAAAGAAACATAGGCGAGTTGTTGCGTGAATAGTAAAAGTGAGCACTAATATATGATAGTTTGTTTAAGCTTTTCAATATTCCCATTTTCACATTTAAAATCGTTGGGCGTATTCAAAATTGAGAAACATGATGAATTAATTTCCAATCATGTGTCGTTGGATTTGAAAAAAAAAAAAAAAAAAAAAAAAAAAAAAAAAAAAATAAAAGTAATTTTCGAGTTTTCCAAGTTTGAAATGTGAAGTTTTCGTGAAAAAAAAAGAAGAAGAAAATATTCATTCCAAAGAAAAAATTTTGGGTTGGACTTGGATCTTCTGATCCCAAGCCCATCCGTTTGAAATCCACCGTTGTAAAATGGGTTGAGTCCCATACCCGACTCTTAAACATTCATGAAGGCCCGCAATTTTTTGTACTTTTGACTGATTCTATATTGGGGAAAAAAAAGTTTGTCTAAATAAAAAATAAAAGTTATCCAAATTATAAAGGTTGCCCTAACTTGTGGTACTAAAAACAACCTTGATCATGCAAACTAAACCTTGACCATTAACCTAGTGTTATTACTTATTTTCATCCTATTTAACAAACTTTGTAACCACATCTTTTCATCCTATTTAACAAACTTTGTAACCTAGTGTTGATCGGAATTTTGTTTTTTATTTAACAAACTTTGTTTCTTATTTAGTGATTTTATTAAACTTTTCCCCGGAGACTAACCAAACATATGTTTTTGGTCTCTTCCATTAGGGCGGAGCCACATACAAGCCTACTATTGCCGTGATCCCCCAAATTCCATTAAATACCTATTATTTCTTAAGCAACTGTTGCAATATTAGTTAAAATATAACTTTATATAACCTTGAAACTATAGTACTGAGGTTGGGAGACTATTGGTAGGTTAGTTGGTTTTGGAAAATTCAACATATCAATTCGAGTTGTTGGCATCAACTGTTCCGTTGTCATGTCATCTTTCGGCTCAGGGAGTAGTTTTTCTTTCTTTGTCGGCCTTAATTTGGTTCATTGTGTCACAGGCCTTGTTACTAGCTTTGCCCAAGTCTCCAAGTTTTGATTGGAATTTGGATGTTATTTTTTAGGAGCAGGTCATTTGCTGCTAAATACATTATTTTACGAAATTTTGATCTTTTGTGCTTTGTGATTAGAATTATGACGTTGCTTGCCGCCTTACCTGTAAGAAGATACTTCTCCTTCATTCGAATCATAGTTTGACACATATGCAAAAATAATTCATCCGACTTTCCATTGGCTATTGGCTTTTATTCATAACAGTCACATTTGGATTATAATTTTCTATTCCGACTTTCCATTTTACATCTTATGCTATTTTATTAATAAAGTATCCCCAATATTAAAAGTTTATATGTGATTGTTTTGGTCATCCAGTTTTAGAAACATGATGATATTTCTTTCATTTTCATAGCACTACCTAAACAACCAAACTGAATTATTGGAAACAATCATCTAATTTGAACTACAAAGCCATAGGCTGTATGTTGTCTTTAAGTCTTTGTGGTTACTTTAGTTAGTCTTTGTGTGGGGGCTAACAAAAATCAAAGGGATCGAAGTCACTGGGGCCATTTTGACACTAACATGAGACTTAATGGTTGAATCTCAACCAATGCATTTTTCTCTCCCAGAAGAAAGGAAAAATACGTTTTGATTAGCTTATGGTAAACCTAATTTTGGGTGACTAAACAATTGACTTTAGACCTATAAACGGACTATCATGAGATTGATATTTTCAAGCAATATTAATCGATCAACTGATCATGACCAAAGAAATAGATCAATTTAGAGGTTATTTTATCTATTAATTTAATCACGTGATGAGAGAAATAAATAGTCATATATATTGGATGAAGGAATTGAAAATTACATAGAATTCTAATATGACGGAATTTAGATTTCCATCATTTCAATTTCTAGCAATTGAAGATTTCAATGTTTGGATTTATGTATGTTGAATTTTGTAAATGACACATATTTTGGTGGAAATTGAACTCAGGAATTTGATGTCCTAATTTTCAAGCTTTTTTTTTGCGCGTCATTTAATAAATTATGCGCTTAAGTTGCAAAATAAGGGAATTGTCAATTTCCCCTCTTACATTCCTAACTTTTAATTAAATTATGAGTTATTTTTTCTTATCCAAACGAAAGGTTATGAGGAAATTTTCCTGTTATTATATGAGGCCACGAAGGAATGTTATTCCAACTATTTTTTTGGTAGTGGATTTTAAGTTGGAGCACTGACACTGTCCTAAGAGTTTGTTGGTCGAGGATTAGGAGGCGCATGCATTATTAGTGTGTTGTAACCTTTTTGATATTTAGGCCTTTTAGGGTTTTGTTCTATGCTCTCCCATAAAAGAACATTCTTTTATCAATTCAGTCTATTGATTCATAATGAGAAAAAACACGTAATACTTCTAAAACTTTAAAACAACTCCTCCTACCGTTGTAAAAAATTGAATTATTTTTTTCTTCCAGAACAATCACTCATACGCGCGTTAAGATTTTCTAAAGCTTTAAAATAAATTACTAACCGATTAACGCTTAAGCAAAATAAATCTTAAAACAATCGCATTCCCCGTCCGAAAAGAAAATATAAATCTTCAAAGTTTTTGCGGTTCAAAATATATTTATAATTATCCCAAGTTCTATGATGTAACAAGAAGAAATAATAAACACAATTATTGAACCCATCGACAGACAGGGCCAATAATGCCATATTTATATATACTATAATTAAAAGTGAGGAGCAATACAAACAAGAGCTCTTCTGAACTGTGAAACACTGAAAATGGATCGAAGGAAGGCGATGCACCATCCTTGTCACGTGGTATTGGATCGGGGCCCACATCTCCAACCTCAACGTTGAGTGTTTGGTGGATCTAGATTGTCTTCAAGCTTATCCAGTGACGTGTAAAACTTTCTTTAAAAGTGGTGGGACACTTGTCGACCCACTTGACCCAGTCACTCTCCCTCCTGCTTCCTTTCTTATATTATTATGATCTCCAAGCCTTCTAT